TAAGAAGCTTGTACTGTTGTGGAGTCTTCTTCATGCTTCTCCACTTGGTTTATGCTTATAGCTATAGCTAGACTTTTAAAAAAATCAAAACAATAGAAATAAATAGAACAGAATAGTAATCAAAGAGAATATTCAGGCCATGTGAAATAATCTGCCACCTTTTAAAAAAAAGGATTAAAAACGAAAGCTCATAGGGGAAATTTCCATAGAAATTTTGTCAAAAACCAGGTGGGGAGAAAAACATTTTCTGTTTTCCGAGCAGCCCGGTTGTTGTGGTTTCTGTATATTATTTATTATTTTTATTACAATAGAGCCTAAAGGCTGCAAGCAAGATTAGGGAAGCATTATGCAAAGCACCGTGCAGCCACACAGTAAGTGATAGTCCCTGCCCCAAAATGCTCACCATCTAAAAAGACAAGACAGACAAAGGAAGGCTTATTATCTCCATAGGAAACTGAGAGATTAAGTGGCTTGCCAAAGGGGGCATAAAGGGTCTGTGACAGAGCTGGGAATTGACGCAATGGTCTTGAATCCCAGGGTAGTGCTTTAACCACACCACTGTCTTCCCTCTCTCCTTCTACCCATACTTAAAATGCAGTAGGCCTTGATCCTACACAGTGTGGGTGCAGCGTGTTACATGTATATGCACAAGGTAAGGGGAACCTGATTCAGTGTTAATGAGAGCACCGCCTGTGCAGCAACCCAGTTACTTCTGTAGGAGTCACACCGAATGGGAGTGTGAGTTAAGCAACTCCTCTGCCTGTTGACAATCAAACACACTCGTCTCTCTAGACCCAGCCACTCCCTGTCAACATCCTGGGCCTGACTCTCCCACTGCCTTGTGAAATCATGGACACCAGTGAAATGAAGGTGTAAAAATGATACTACACCTCTACCCCGATATAACGCGACCTGATATAACACGAATTCGGATATAACCCGGTAAAGCAGTGCTCCGGGAGGGCGGGGTTGCGCACTCTGGTGGATCAAAGCAAGTTCGATATAATGCAGTTTCACCTATAACACGGTAAGATTTTTTGGCTCCTGAGGACAGCGTTATATCGAGGTAGAGGTGTATATTGTTTTGATACAAGGCGTAAGCCCCTTCTTTGTTGGGGGCCTGATGTAAAGCATTGGAGCCAAGGGAACATATCCATTGACTGCTTGGAGTTTGAGGGGCACTAGCACCTAGCCTTACGTGACTCATGGGTGCCTGCCTTCTATTCACACTTGTATTAGGGCGTAAGGACTTTGGCCCAGACACTCACTACGCTCTCAAATGAACTCACACAGAAAAATGATAAAAGGCAAAAATACTCTCTCACCCGTGGTCAAACACTTTCCCCAAAGCGAGTCTCTGACCTCTCAGTCCTCATCCTCAAAAGAAACCTGCACAACACCTTCAAAACACAGGCCTGGGACCTGAAATGCGTAACTCCGCAGGACACTAAAAACCATGGACTGGTTTTATGGCTCATTATAACAATTTGTAACACCTCTGCCTGCTAACCCTTAATTGCCCACTTCATTTAAGTGGACTCTTACAGCACGCGTGAACCCTTGATGCTTAACAATCTGTGCCAACTTGTATTTAGCTCAGACACTCTGGTTAGCTTCCCCAGACCTGAAGAAGAGCTCTATGATGAAGCTCCAAAACTCGTCCCTTCCACCAAAAGAAGTTGGTCCAGTAAAAGGTATTACCTCCCCGGCCCCTTGTCTTGCTCACATCCTGGGATCAACACGGCTAAAACAACACTGCAAACAGATCCTCAAAGGTATGTAGACTCCTAAATTGCATTGAAGTCAAGGGCCAGAAGGTGGTATCTTCCTCCGGCAAAAAATATTTACCCTCAGTCGGAGTTTCCTTTTCATTTCCTTTGAGGATCTGGGCCTCTGTACTTGCCGCTGCAAAGACCCACAGGATCAAGCACTGCCAGGCAATATTATAAAGAACAATTGAACTTAGTGGGCTTGAGTCTCTCTTGCCTTGCACCTCCACGCAGACATTCACACCCGTGTGCTGCCTCAGCATGGTAGCATCTTACATCCCCTTTGCTCAGTCCCCTTTCCCACCAGGAGGGAATCAGGCCTCTTTTCTGATCATAAGTAAGGCTGCGAGTTTGTCATGGAGGTCAAAGAAGTCAAGGATTCCATGACTTTCCGGGACATTCAGGACTTCTGCAGCGGCTGCTGCTAGGGCAATCTCGGGCCACTGTCCCCAGCAACAGGAGTTGGGATGTGGGAGGGGGCTCAGTGCTGCGGGGGACGGGTGTGTGTGGGGGGTGTGAGGACTCCAGGCGGCGCTTACCTTGGGGAGCTCCCCGGAAGCAGCGACATGTCCCTCCCTCAGCTCCTAGCTCCACGCACTGCCTCTACCTGCAGGCACCACCCACGCAGCTCCCATTGGCCACAGTTCTCGGCCAATGGGAGCTGCAGAGCCGGCGCTTGGGGTGGGGGCAGCATGTGGAGCTATGAGCTGAGGGAGGGAGGGACATGTTGCCACTTCCGGGGAGTGCCGCAAGGAACCGAGTAGGGAGCCTGCCAGTCCCGCCAACCAACCCCCCCAGCACCAGCAGGGGTCCCAGGCTGCTCCCTCGGACCGTGTCCCCCGGAGCACCCGCAGCACCACCCGGGCCACAAGATCTAGCCAGGGGTATATAGTACAAGTCATGGACAGGTCACGGGCTGTGAATTTTTGTTTACTGCCCGTGACCTGTCCATGACTTTTACTAAAAATACCCAAGACTAAAACGTAGCCTTAATCATAAGGAAGAACAGAAAAAAATGTCAAGAACCTTTCATAACTTTTTACATCACAAATTAAAATAATGTGAGTTAAAAGCATCATGTTTGATAGACCCATCCTGACTCCTCTGCCCTTCTTAGGTCAGCCCAAAGGTTCAGAATTTGCACACCTGCGTTTTTAGTTTTACTGGGACCAGCTGAGCACATTAAACAAAACTAGGTCAGGGCCGTTTCCGGCCGAGAGTTCCCATGTAACACCGGAGCACTGAGGATGGTGCGGGAGGGTGTTTCCATTTGCGGGTGAAAAAAAAAAGGATAGTTTTGGCTTCGGGGTGAATTAAACTTTCACTGCTGTAATGTCTCCTTTTAACATAACCTCTGAAGGGCGTTTTAAGAGCATCTGTTAAATTAGCCAGGCAAGGTGAAATGTGATTAATTATTCTTCAGGCCAGGATATGTAATTTTTTGAGTTAGTTATTGTGTGTGTGAAGGGAGAGGGAGGGAAGCTTCAAAGCACAGAATGAAAAGTCTCAATACCTCCTGCTAAAACTTGGCATTGAATCCCGTGCCCTTCCATTCAGGAGATAGCAATAAATTAATTTCTAATGGGCACAACAGCCTGGCATGTTTTTACCACTCATTGTGTTTTATTCCAGCCTGTGAGAGGGGCCATTGATATGTTTGTAAATGGGCTTGTGTTATATTGGGATAACTGGACTCTGACATCTATCATAATTAACTCTAACGAAGAAAAACAAATATTCATTTTCTGTACAAAAGATGTCCAAAGGAGGATGGAAGGTGCAGGGGGTTAGTTCCATGATTCCATGTATTCCATGATCAGGACTGCCTCTTTGTTGTATATTTGTACAGCACCTAGCACATGGGGCCCTGTCATCTACTGTAAAAATAAATAATAGTTAATTCCCCAGTCACCACGGCCCTTATTCTGAAATGTACAGTGCACAGGGGGACGACTGCATCCACACCGACATCAGCAGGGCTCTACATAGGAACTGGGGTACACCCACATGTGGTACATTGCAGAATCAGGACCTAAATTTACAGCAGAACATTTGTCTTTGCTGCAGAATGGTTCTCCAGAATCGAAGTAGAAGCAGGTGCCATCCCCTACCTGCTCTCAAACACAGTGTGCATTCTGTACACAGGCTACTTTACCTCCTCCCTGGGATTTAGTTTTCTTAATACAAAACCTAGCAATAATATATTAATAAAGTTTAGCTCAAACCTTTCTGGCCTTGCCTTTTCTTAGGGATCCTCCCTCTGGACAGATGAGTCCGCACCTTAGATCCTCCCTCTGTAGAGAGTGTCTCCTACTTCCCTGATATTTGAGTGGTAACAAATCACCTGCCTCTGAGTCAGCAGAACCCACTTAGCCCTTTCTCAGCCTAATCAACACTTGCTATCAAGACGAGGTGCCTCAGGCCAACGCTGCCAACCTGTTACACTAACCCAGGGGTCGGCAACCTTTCAGAAGTGGTGTGCCGCGTCTTCATTTATTCACTCTAATTTAAGGTTTCGCGTGCCAGTCATACATTTTAACATTTTTAGAAGATCTCTTTTTATAAGACTATAATATATAACTAAACTATTGTTGTATGTAAAGTAAATAAGGTTTTTAAAAATGTTTAAGAAACTTCATTTAAAATGAAATTAAAATGCAGAGCCCCTGGAGCGGTGGGCCAGGACCCAGGCAGTGTGAGTGCCACTGAAAATCAGCTTGCGTGCCGCCTTCGGCACGCGTGCCATAGGTTGCCTACCCCTGCACTAACCTTACATTTGTTATTTATATTTTTAAAAAGATTAGTTTCTAATTTTTTTTGGTTATAAAAACAACAGCAAACAACTCTTCCAAACATGGACCAAGAGTAAGCAATGCAGTGACCTATGCCCTAATCTGCAGACAGCATAAATCTGAAACCTAAAGACTGCAATTGGAATATCAACATTGCTAACTGTTTCATGGCTGGGATCAAAGCAGTGTTTAGGATTAAAGAACCAGCACAGGGCATAAAGGCAGGTGGATGAAGCACTCTTTGAATGTAAGTGACAGGGTGCAAAGCTGGCATTGCTGTGACATTTAGCTGTTTAAGGATAGACTTGTCCGGCTTGTGAAAGCACTCAGGGAAACCTGCCTGACCTGTGTGGCAGCATTGTGTGATCTGAATCACAAATTGGCACCCAGGTTTGTATCAGTGATTGTTTGTTCCCCATCTCTTTCTTCATCCTTGCAGGCCTGAATCTCGAATCTGGACTGTGATGTTACTGCTTGGGACTTGTTTACTCTACTGTGCCAGGGTGACCATGCCTATCTGTGCTGTGGCCATGAGCAGTCACTTCGACTGGGACAAGAAACAGTCCGGCATTGTTTTGAGCAGCTTCTTCTGGGGCTACTGCTTAACTCAGATCATCGGCGGGCACCTCAGCGATCGGTACCGGAACTTTCTTATATTATCCCTTGCTCAGTTTTTGCAATAATATTTTTTGGCAAAGTTACCAGGTATCTAACCTCCACCCCAAGGAGATGAGGATTGATAAACTATCTGTGAAGTACATCGATATCTCTGGAGGAAAAGCACCATATGCCTGATCCAAACTCCATTGAAGTCAATGGGAGTCTTTCCATTGACTTCAGTAAGTTTTGGATCAGGCCCTATGGCTCTGATCCAGCAAAGCACTTAAGCACGTGCCTAAACTTAAGTATGTGAGTAGTCCCCATTGGTTTCTAAGGGTATGTCTACACTACCTGCCAGATCGGCGGGCAGCGATTGATCCAGCGGGGATCGATTTATCGCGTCTAGTCTAGACGCGATAAATCGACGCCCCGAGCCCTCTCCCGTCAACTCCTGTACTCCAGCGCCGCAAGAGGCACGGGCGGAGTCGACGGGGGAGCGGCAGCAGTCGACTCACCGCAGTGAAGACACTGCGGTAAGTCGATCTAAGTACGTCGACTTCAGCTACGTTATTCACGTAGCTGAAGCTGCGTAACTTAGATCGATCCCCCCTGCTAGTGTAGACCAGGGCTAAGTTGGTCCTGATCTTAAAGTTACACAAGTACTGAGGTGCTTTGCTGGGGTGTGGCCTATGTGCAGTTTAGGAATCACCTACATGCAAAGGTTGTAGTGTTTTAAACTATACCGGTATAGTTCAAGCTGTACAATCCCCACTAGTGTGGATGCAGTTACATCAATAGGCGTCTGTACTAGTACCATTTACCCCCGTATAGGCAGAGGAATAAGCTAGGCAAATATAAGGTACCTTTATAATTGCATCCACGCAAGGGGTTGTACTGGTATAACTATTGCCATAAAGAATGACCTCCCTAACCAAAATAGTTATACCAGTACAAAACTTGTGAGTAGACCAGGCCTTATTATTATGATCATTGCAACGTTCTTCCCAAAGCCAGCATTAGCCAACTGCTCACATCAAGCACGATCTATTTATTAACAAAAGCTAAACACCGTCCTTGTGTGGATGGCAACTTTCAGACTGGTTATTCAAACGATGAACAACCAGCCAGGGGCAACGTTCCGTTGGTCTGCAGGGAAATCAACTCTTCGTTTCTTCGTCTCATCCGCGGAATTTGTTTTCTCTCTCTTCGTTCCATGCCCACGTTTCTAGGCAGTTCCTCCCGAGTTTATTCCCCTTTGCAGCCCCTAGTCGTGCTTGGGAAAAGCATGTGCTGCACAGTTTGATTGTATTAATTAAAAAACAACAACCAAAAAACCCAGTCAGCTGTTTTGTGGAAACCCCAGTAATTACCTGCTTGAGTTCATCCCCCAGACTGCAGTGTCCTAAGGGGGTACGGCTTTCCTATAAAATCTTGTGTAAGAAACACAGTCTCGGAGTCACACGCTGTCTGTGCAGTGGGCTGGGCCGTCGCACTGTGGTCTTTAATAGACGCTGCAAGCAAAGTGCACACAGGACACGAAAGGTTACAAGCAAGCAGAGCTAATGCTAAAGAGCGGATGGAACAGAAAATGCCATCATGCTTCGAGAAAAAGAGTACAGTGCTAACTGCTTGTCCTTAACACTTCCCCTGCATCAGGGGTTCTCTCAACTCCGAGCTCGTGACCAGCCTGCCCTTCCGCATTGCTGATTGGGAAGGGGATCCTGGCTATTTGGGGTGAAGGTAGGCTCCCAGTATAGAAAAGGGGACCCCAGTACTGAACAGGCTGAGAACTACTGCACCCTCTCAGTTGTTTGTAAAATTTTCTCTGTTGCTTTAAAATCAGGTTTCTCTCCCTGCCGATGTCACCCTCTTTTACCTGTGTTCACCTTGTGTTTCTAAGGTGGGCTTGTAATTAACACGCTCCTGCTTTTGTTTACTTCCCCGTGGGTGCCCGCGCGTCACTGAAGACGTAACTGTATGGACAGGTGGAATGGGTAATCACTTTCCATCCCAAACAGTATGAATGTGGCTAGGATTCATCTCTCATCCCCACTGTCTGCTGCTGCTGGGGAGCAAGTGGGGATTTCCCTTGGGCACCCCTTCACTCTCAGTGCATTCTAGGGCCTCTCAGACATGCTGTTAAATGGTAGGACTGATGCCGTGTTCTGCTGCTACATGATGGTACAGGACACATGCAATTCTGGAGATAACTCCAGTTGAGATGGGGAAGGGTCTGCTTTGCTGCTCACCTCCCTGAAGGAAGCAGGTGAAGGGCGCAGGTCAGCTGGCCATCCCTGAAGACATTTGTGGGATGGAAAGGTCAGGTGGAGAGGCCTGGCTGACTTTCGTTATTAAACAGCTTGGAAGAGACGCCTGAAGTCCTGATTCCGAGTCCGTGCGCCAACCCCATACCCTACCCACAGTTCCCCTTTTACATAATTCATGCGTATCTTTCAGGATCGGAGGAGAAAAAGTCCTCCTCCTCTCTGCATCTGCCTGGGGTTTCATCACCGCCATCACTCCGCTGCTCACCTATATCAGTTCTGCCCACCTGATTTTCATGACAATAGCTCGATTCCTCATGGGACTACTGCAAGGTGAGACAAAAAATTGTGTGTGTGTTCGTTCCACCCATGCTTATACTGCCACTCCATATATGATGGATTCAAATGAAAGTCATAACTGCAAGGTGTCAATTGCAATGCTGGTTAGAGCAAGCTGTTTCTGAGCTGCCCCCACATCTGGAACTCCTGTTATAAAAACTGCCGTGGCTGGGTGCAGAGTGGCTACCAAATGGAGACATTTGGAAAGGTGCTGTCACTATAAAAAGCTTGAATCTCCGTGTCTGCCTCTGAAATGGTAAACGTGCTTCAAAGCACCTGCAATTTGAGGGGTTCTTTGGCCTTTCGCCTGAGCTATGATAATTTGGGATGAGTTTCTCTTCCACTTGCTGAACTGCAGAAGCCTGGCGAGTGCTACCCAAAAGTTGGTTGGGTGACTTCTTCTTGTTAACCGATAAGAAACTCTGGGTTATTTTCACTGTTTCGTTTCTGGGCTTCTCCCTCCACTGACTGGGTGCCTGATACATCATTATAAATAATTACATTTTTGTAAGCTACCAGAGCAACATAGCTTCTCAGTGAGGGCTTTTTCTCCTGCTTACTCCTTTCCCCCCCGTCTTTCTTTGTACCCCTCCTTTTCTATGTAAGAGTTTATTATTTCGGGGCCACATGTCTACCAAGGACTAGATTAACACTAGGTAGCATCCATTCCAGTTTTAACCAGGTACAAATTAGCCCGTATTTTAATCACTGCAACAGCTGACCCATTCTAGAATTCAGCTCTTCCCTGCCCTCCACCCTGGGAGTTTTACATCCTCTCCACATCTGTCTCCATAGTGTCATGAATGCCAACCCCCCACTGAAACCAGCTGGTGCCATTACTGTGCAAAGTCTTGGGATGCTATCCCAGGTGACCCTGCCACTCAGCAGAGCACATGATGTTGTCATCACCAGAAGCAGGATGAATCACTCACTTCGCCATAAGAAAAAGCTGGCAACTATTTAATAAGGATTAAAAGTTACTAAAGCTTTTTCAACCCTGGGGGAGAAAAAGGATCAGTTTTGGTGTGGCTCAGCTATTGTGTAGCGGTGGAGTGCTGGCCTCGTGGTTAAGGTTCCCTGACCTAGGAGAGCTGGGGTCAGTTCCCAGCTCTGCTCAGACTCCTTGTGTAATTTTTAGCAAGTCACTGAATTTGTCTGTGCCGCAGTTCCCCAGCTGTAAAATGGGGATAACAGCCCTGCCCTATCGCACTGGAAGTTGTGAGGATAAATGCATTCACACTTAGGAGGAGCTCAAATATTACAGTAAAGGGGGGCAATGGCAGCAGATACAGAGAAGGCACAAATAAGCTTCCAAATGGCCATGTGGTATATCAAGGGGAGCAGTGGGCTGCCATAAGTCATACTGGTGTGTGACACTGTGAGGTCATTGCTTCGTTGACTCGTTTTGGCATTTATCTATCGTTGAATTTGAGTCAAACGCGCTCACACGCGAGTGCAAGTTTGACTGATGTGTACCCTGACTGGCAATGGCTGACTCTTTCATTTCCATTGTTGTTAGGAGTGTACTTCCCTGCCTTGGCCAGCCTCTTTTCTCAGAAGGTCCGTGAGAGTGAGCGAGCTTTCACGTGCAGCACAGTAGGGACTGGCTCTCAGTTTGGGTAAGTTCCCATTGGCTTTCGGTGGTGAGTGACAGCATCTCAGAGGGATGCCATAGGTCAGGAGATAAAGTGCCATTAAACTTCTATAGGCAAAAACACCAACCCACAAAGTACATCTGGAACACTGGATCCTGTAGGGTATCTGTTCCAGTTGAAGAAGGCTCAGACAGAATATAGAATATACACACTCATTACTGAAGTCTTTGAGCCTCTCAGAGTTGGTAAGACAACTCCCACCTTTTCATGCTCTCTGTATGTGTATATATATCTCCTCAATATATGTTCCATTCTACGCATCCGAAGAAGTGGGCTGTAGCCCACGAAAGCTTATGCTCAAATAAATTTGTTAGTATCTAAGGTGCCACAAGTACTCCTGTTCTTTTTGTGTATACAGACTAACACAGCTGCTACTCTGAAACCTCTCTCAAGTGTGTTGAGGATTAAAGGGATTTTATCTTGTCTTTTGAGTAAGCGGCTTGAAGGAGTTGCTATTACATTTGGTTTCCAACAGGAGGTGGCATGGTCCAGCAGGAAGAGCAAGACAGACCATCTAGGGTCCTGAATTCTGTTTCTGACCCTTCCACTGACTTGCTGTGTGACCCTGGGCACGTCACTTAACCTCCCAGGGCCTCAGTTTCTCTCTCCGTTAAATGGGGATTAATAATACTTTCCCACCTTTGTAAAGTTCTTGGAGAACCTCCGATAGAAACGGCTATAGAGCGGCAAAGCATCAGTAGTATTTTATGCACCATATCTATTCCTGTGACTTTCTTTTGCGGATATATGTATTCCGGGATATAAATGGTGATCTTGCTGGAAGGACTAAGGGTATGTCTACACAACAGTTAAACAGGAGGGATAGCTCAGTGGTTTGAGCATTGGCCTGCTAACCCCAGGGTTGTGAGCTCAATCCTTGCGGGGGCCACTTAGGGATCTGGGGCAAAAATCAGTACTTGGTCCTGCTAGTGAAGGCAGGGGGCTGGACTTGATGACCTTTCAAGGTCCCTTCCAGTTCTAGGAGATAGGATATCTCCATTAATTTAAACCCACGGCTGGCCCCAGTCAGCTGACTTGGGCTTATGGAGCTCAGACTGCGGGGCTATAAAATTGCATTGTAGACATCCAGGCTTGGGCTGGAGCTTGAGCCAACATGTCTACACTGCAGTTTTACAGACCCAGAGCCCGAGCCCCGCAAGCCCGAGTCAGCTGACACAAGCCAGTCACAGCTGCTTAATTGCTGTGTAGACATACCTAAGTGGGCTAAGGGTTCTTTCCTTGTCTCAGTGCCTACAATCAGAGTGTACCTCAGAATGCTCTGTGGCATCCTTTCATTGCCAGGTATTTCAGACATCAGTAGGAAACAAAGACCTAGATTTGCGACTGGTGTAAACTGACCATGTTCCAACAACTTCAGTAGAACTACGCTGACTTACACCAGCTGAGGATTTGACCCAAAGTGTCAAATTAAGAAATAGAGCAGGTTCTTCTCCAGTGCCGTAGCAATAGAATGGTCTATAGTACAGTGGAGTGGTTTTTAATAACCAGGCAACGTCTCCTCTCAGCATTATTGAGGTAGGGAATGATTAGCCAATGCAACTGTTTGATAAGATGAACAGCTCTTGAGGGCTGGATAAATAACATCCAGTAAACCATAGTGTTGACTCCTTACCGCTGATGCATGGATTGTGAGTTTGCCTAAAGAACATTCCGATCAGTCTCATAATCTCTCTGGCTTTTCTTTCCAGGACGCTGGTGATTGGTGGGGCAGGGTCCCTCCTTCTGGACTGGTATGGCTGGGAAAGTGTCTTCTATTTCTCTGGATTACTCACTTTGCTCTGGGTTTACTGCATGTGCAAATACCTCCTGAATGACAAAGGTAACCTCCCACCCTATTCATTCCTACTGGCAATAGCTGTTCACGAGGCTGTGCAGTGGAGATGACAGGAAAGTGATGTATGGCAATTGTTAACCCTGGGGCAAACGACAGGTGGCACTACCACCTCCTTCTCTGGCTGGATTCTGAGTGGCACCCGACCTGCTAGGCCACCTCTGAGCAAACCTACTGGATCAGCCCCACATGTGACTTAGGTGTCCAAAAGCCTGGCTCTTCCTGGTTTGTGAATCTCTTTGGGGTTGAGGCAGAAACGTAGGTGCGTAGAGAACTTTTACTGCAAAAACTTGGGTGCTGCGTGAGCTTAGGCGCTTACAGGGTTTGGCAGGAGATTCATGGATGGCAGTGGAGCCAGAACTGGGACTTAGGTCCTTAAGCCTCAGACTTGGGCACCTAAGTCTGGGCTTTAGGCACCTAAGTACCTTCATGGATTGCAGCCTAGCTGTTGTTAATTTTTTTATAGGCTTTACAGAAAATGAGAGTTTTAAGGAGGATCTTGAAGGAGCATAATTAGGTGGTTTTTGGATGTTTTCAGGGAGCCAGAAGCACCAGAAGCTCCCTAGAAGTGGGGGGAGAGGGGCACCGGCACCTGAGCCATGATCCTACCCCTGCTCCACCTCTTCCCCTGAGTCCCTGCCTTCACTCCGCCTCGTCCCTTGAAGCCCCGCCCTCGCTCTGCCTCTTCCCCCAAGGCTCCACCCCCACTTGCTCCTCTCCGCCTCCTCCACCCCGTCGCTTGCCCTTAAGGCAGGTAAAAAGTGAAGGGGCCATGGCCCCCTGGCCCTGCCGTTCCAGCACCTCTGTGCGGAGCGTCTCCTAAGTGTAAGGGGCAGCATGGGAGAAGCACAAAGGTGCTTGTTTGAAAAAGTATCAACTGAGCAATGGAGGCAGGCAGAAGTCGACACTGGAGGAGAGATGATAGGTAGGGTGGGGGATAGGCCATTAAGGGACTTGAAAGTGAAGACAAGTAGCCCATGTTTGATGCAATAGAGAAGGGGAACCAGTGGAGGGATGCAAAGAGAAGGGCGACGTGGGCAAAGTGATGGGCTAAGAAAATGATCTTTGCAACAGTCTTCTGAGTGGATGTGAGCAGGGTAAGGTTGCACTTGTCAAGGCCAGTGGCAGTAATTGAGACTGCACCAGGGTCCTTTCAGGACAGAGGTTCAGCATTAACTCTTGATTTGTTGTGTCTGGAGGCGTGCGTGTGTGTGTGTGTGCATAGGGTGGGGGTTTGGAGGAAGTTCAGTTAGAACACCACCGCTACTTAAAGCAGTTTTTATGGTTTAATGCATAGATGTTCCAGGGTTATCCTTCTGAATGCACATTTTAAGCAGTTCTTAAACCATGTGGTTAAGCCCTAGGATAAAACAGATCCAGCGTGTCTGTATAAACTATTGGAAAACATAGCTTTGATTTGATATATTTCTTCCCTGCAGAACTCATCATTTGCTTAGAACATTTAGCAAAGGGCCTCTCGTTATCCAAACAGACCAAAGTTCCCTGGAAGCAGTTATTTAAAAAGGCCCCTATCTGGTGAGTAAATGTCACGGCCATGCGTGTTGTGCATGTCAGCACCTCTCTCATGCAGAATCTGGTTTTCTTGTTGCTCCACCATCCTTCCATTCGGAAGCCTTTGTGTCTTGCTCCTGGAGTTAACTACCACCATGCATTTCCTAACTAGGCCAGCCGGGGGCAGAATGGTGGGTCTTTCCAAGGTTGCTTTTTTTATTTGATAGCTAGTTATTTATTTAGGAAGTTTTAACAGGTTTACAAATCATTGCCACATAAATATCCGAATCAAAACATTAATCATTACACCAATGAGCTTATCACTAGGCAGTAAATTAATCATCATCATTTAGCAGGGTATTACCTTATTACAGGTGAGTCTCTTTACACCATCCCATCCTCTGTGAATTATATTTGTCTGTGGTTCTGTTTTACAAGCAGTGCTTCAAACAGTTCAGGACATAATGCCACATTCTGTATTTAGAGAGGCAAGGTTGGGGCAGGAATATATTTTATTGGACCAACTTCTGTTGGTGAGAGAGACAAGCTTTCGAACGACATAGAGCTCTTCTTCAGGTTTTTCCAAGACCTGTGACTCGAAAGCTTATCACTGTCACCAACAGAACTTGGTCCAATAAAAGATATTACTTCCCCAACCTGCATTTGTTGCTCAGAGGACACTGGGTGCTGTAATCTTTGCTCTCGTTGCAGAGAGAGACAACCAAAAAATGCCCTTTTAATTGTCACTTTGACTTAATAAACTGTCTCAGGAGACATTACATCCTCCTAGTTTAGGTTTCTGGATTTAACACTGTCCAGTCTAGAGCAGGGGAATGTTTTCGTATTGCTCAACACATCTGCCTTGTGGCCATTTAAGGAAAGACAGTGACGGGATCTGAGGGAAAATGGCCCTGGCTTTAAAGACAGTAAGGTGATAGGTGGGGAAATGGGCAGTATTCTGGAAAGGGTGCCGAGGATGCACTGGTAAGAATGAAGCTATGTTAATAATGTGGGCGTAACATGAAGCTAGTAATTCTCCCTGGTACGTTTGCATTGCAGTGTCCTGTCAGATATGGTTCTGTTCAAAACCGCCTGTGTTCCTGTTTCAATGTCCACACCACCCCAGCTAGTATACTAGATTAAATCAGTTGCTTATTATCGCTAATATCTGGGCTTGAATGGACATGTTTGCCCGACAGACATTTAGCGGGACCTAAACAAAATCTCAAGGAAGGGTACAAGTCCTGCTGTAAGTAAGAATCTGATGGGATCTTTCATACTGAGATGCACTCCATGAGTATGACGGTTATCAACACTGATTGTATCATAAGTTATCAAGATATCAAGGCCCCATTCAGAGCTGCCGATGGTGAAAGCATCATGGGAATACGTTGGTGCATTGCTCTCTCTTCTTGCTCTGGCAGGCAGGTGGGGTTAGGTATCTCCAATAAATCGCAGGAAGCGGCTTCAGTGCTATAGAGGGTTTATTTATATGCCTGACACCACTGCCTTGAAGTAGTGGGTAGCTAGAATCCCTTTTTGTTATCCAATGTGATCTGTCATCTTGTTTGATTCTTTTTCCCATTGTATATTTACAGGGCTGTCATAGTAGCTCAGCTTTCTTCGAGCAGCACATTTTTCACCCTCCTCTCCTGGTTGCCAACTTTCTTTAAGGACACTTTTCCCGAGTCTAAGGTAGGCTGATACCACAGCAAAGCGGAGACTCTGAAAGCTCAGTACCAACAAACAGCTGTAGTATTTTCCGTGTGTTTACATAGCTCCCGTTAAGATTGGGAAGCTTTGCATTGCCTTCAACGGGCTCTGGATCAGGCCTGAAGAGAACGGCCCTTTCGGTATCTGAGCCACTAACACTAGGAGGTTGATTTTAGTTCCCTTTGCCCCCACATGTGATTTTGATTGGTCTAGTCCTTCCGCATTGTTCTGACAGCTTCACTCACATTGTGTCGCTTGCCCCGTCTTGCCGCAAGGTCCCCTCTGAGAATATGTCAGGGAGCAACACTCTCGGTTGCTCCATAATGTCAAGCTCTCGAGAAGAAGCCGCTCCTGCACTGTCCAAGGCCTCCTTTGTAGCCCATGAGATCTAATGCAACTCCCCCAAAACACACAGCTGGTAACTGGGCCACAGATTTTGGATGAGTCAGGAAGACGGTGTCAGTATAGGAGAAAAGCTTTTTCTTGGGATCAAGCATTGCTGAGAGGGAGAGAAGGGGGAAGGAGGAGGAATGATTTCTGCCCCATATGGATGTGCTGTATACATGGTGGTGGCCTGTTGCTTTTACCCCTGATTCTTACGTGAAGGTGTTGGCAAGCAGGGAGTATATGCTTGATATATGCAGGAGTCCAGCTATTTAATAATAGGGGAATAGAAACTTGTACCTCCCACACGTCCCTTCTAAAACAAAGCTACAAATATAGGCCCTGATCCATGCCATCAAATCCCCGCCCCCCCTTGCACCTGCACATTGACATCACGGGATCTGATTGCAGGATCTGGCCATATTGTTTAACTATCCAAATGCACCAGCAGTGCCAAGAAATAGCATTGCCTGCTCTGATCCTTTCCAGTAGTGTCAACATACTGCTCTTCCCCCCCATCAGCAGCTCCCCGTCATGAATCCCTTTCTCACAGAGTTCTGTGTGGTCTCTAGGCTGCCCCATTGTGTGGGTGAGGATGGCACAGAGCTCATCGCTGCAAGCAATTTCAGACAACCACCACAGGGCTTTGTTACTGTACTGGCATAACTGAGCTTAGAGGTGTGATATTGTTAGTTGTTACAAGGCTACAAATTTTAATTACTAATTAATATACATTTTTTATTTGCAAAGTTCTGAAGGAAGGCCTCTCTCTGCAAATAAATTGCCCATTTTTCTGAAACTTGGTTAAAATTCTTCCGGGCTGAGATCTTGTATTTTTACAATTCATTCTGCCCACAGAAATCCCGAGATTGTCTTTTCTATGGTGGCTCTGTCGTGTGTTTCTGGAATTTCCCAGAGCCCCTTACATTTATTACATTAACGAGGGGCTTTATGACATACTTGATATTTATATTAAAATCATGTATTAAACCAGCAAACATATTGTTATAACAAGATTTGCAGCACCTCTTGTAATACGCTTGGGTAGCAGTGATTTGGTAATTTAGCCATCTGTTACATATTTAATTCCTGTGCCCTTATGTAAGATGCTCTATATAATATTCCTGCATCTGGCCATTGCTTCATAAATATTAATAAAACGTGGATTCATTCGATGTAAATTGAAAGGGTTGACAATCCTTAATGTGGTAAAACTATGTCACCTACTGGCCAAACATACATGCTGCAGGTGAGTTGTTTTTCTCCCTCTGCTAATGTCCAATTCAATGAAGAGAATCCTGCACCTTTGGCCCAGGCCGTGAAGTGTGCTATGATTTGAAAAGGGACCCTATAAAATAACAATGTGGCATTGTTATATGCCCTTATGTTTTTCTTGAATATTTTGGGCCACAAGCTTAGAGGTGCTGAGCGAGAACAGCTCCAGCTGGCATCATTGGGAGCTGCAAGTGTTCCGCTCTTCTGAAAATCAGGCTCTCGTTTTGCAAACTGCCAATGCAATTTAGGAGCCTAAGTTCCTTTTTCAAACGTGACTAAGGGCTAGATTTTCAAAGGTATTTAGGTTCCTAACAATGCAGATATGTGCCTAGTGAGGTTGACATCATCATCTGAACAGGTTAGGTTCCTAACACCCATTGAACTCAGTTAGAGGCTTAACCTCTTTTGGTGCTTTTGAAAATCCCACTGGACACCTAAATACCTCTGAAAATCTGACTCTGTTTCACTGAAAGCCAGTGGGATCTAAACTCCTACATTACTTAGGTGCTTTTGAAAATGTTTCCATTAGTCATCTTCAGTTACATCCATAACACATTTTCTCAGTTGAAAAGACAAAGCAAGATTTTCCTCTTTACCAGTCTTGAAAGTTCAACCCTGACATCAGAAAACCCAGCTGTGTTCCCTCAGCTGCATAGAAATGGTAGCTAATAATATAGCGGCTGGAGTCTGAATTTAGTCTGCAGTTTTGCTGGATAGAATACACAGTTTGCATATTGGCTCTGTGCCGCAGAATCTTGTTTGCCAGTAAACTCTGCCACTTTTAATCCTTCCTTATTGCTGTAGAGAGAAATTTCTGCCGCTCTGTCATGGGTGTAAAGCCAGTCAGACTTTATGGTCTTTAACAATTCACTTATTTATATAGCACCATGTGTGCACGTACATTACAGACCTCAGGCCCCATCCTGGAATGCACCAGAATGCTGTAGAGCATTGGGCAGAGTGTTATGAGAAACTGGCTTAAAGCTCCTATGTTAGGTGAGCAAAAGCACCAGGAAAGGGTAAACCCTAATGTCCCGTGGACGCCCCCGCAGTATAAAATCCATTAGCTGCAAACAAACCCTGCTCCACTAGCAGGATGTGAACGTTGCTTCTCTTCACTTTTCCTGTGAGGATTGTTCTCCTTTCAGGGCTGGGTGTTTAACGTCGTGCCATGGCTGGTTGCAATCCCAACAAGTTTGTTTAGTGGATTTCTGTCTGATCACCTGATCAATCAGGGTAAGAGATCCTTGGCTCTGTCTTTTCAGAATGCAAAGAAAAGACTGGATGGGAGGAGACGGGTTTGGTGGGAGAAAGGGGAAGCTGAGCTTCTGGCCTGGAACTTGGATAAATACTGGCCTCTACATATTTGTAACACCCTTTGGGTTTGTCTACACTGGCACTTCATCGGCAACACTTTTGTCATTTTGTCAACAAAAGTTTTACCGACAAAAAGCGCCGGTGTGAACAGCGCGTTGTCGACACAGTCACTGCCGCTCATGGGGAGTGGAAGCTTTTTGTCGGCAGGAGAGCTCTCTCCTGCCAACAAACAGCAGATAAAAGCCTCAGTGTAGCCATACCCTTTGTCTTGTATGGGAGTTGTAAGCACCTGTCTGAGAACAGAATCTGTCCCTGTGTGTTAAGTTTACCTTATACTCACTCTCCTGACATGAGCCCAAACGATGGGTGTTGAACTTTTCTAGACTGAAACATTAGTCCCAGCTTCATTGAGAGGGGTCTAGTTTAAATACCTCCAATTGTCTTCCTTTTCCCTTTCAGGCTATAAAACGATCACCGTTCGTAAGTTCATGCAGGTAAGAAAACGAAAGCCTGTGAGTGAAACATCAGTTATCTGTTAGCGCCGATTTTGCATGTTAGGCTAACAGTGGAAATCAGATTCGAGTTCTTGGGAAACTGGACTCATGATCTTGTTTACAAAAAAAAAGAGCTTTTATAGATAGGCAGATAGCTAGTAACCAGCATCCATGGGAAGGATACAGAGAAAGGCCATGACCTTTTCACTGGGCTTTGACAAACCATTACATTTTAACAGTTTGCCTGGGAGTGGCGATTTTGTGAGCGATATGGAGGATTTTGTCAGCCCCGCAGAGCAAGCGTGTTCTTTCACACCGAATGACTCTCCAGATTTTAGATGAAGGGAAACAGCAAAAGAATGAACAAGAATAAAATCCCCGTGCGAGAGCAGCGCATCTCTTCTGTAGAACAGCGGCTCCCAAACATTTTACTATGGTGGCCCCCCAACTGCGTTTGGTCGCTTATGGGGAGCCCCTGTTATATAAAGATGTACAGAAACGACTATTTCTAAAATCCTGTGAATGTACAACAGCAATTCTGAGTTTGTTCTCAGCCTTCTGCTCCCCAGTCCCCTTCTCAGCCCCTGCTCTCCCCTCACTAGCGTGGCCAAAACCCCTGCTCAGCTCCCCCCAGCCCCTTGCTCTCACGCTCCTAGCTCTGCCCCCTGCTGCATCTAGTCATCACTGCTCTCCCTATGACCAGGCCGCAGTCGCTATCAGAAAGCTCACTGGCTCCGGCTGCTTCCTCCGCACTGATGCTGCCTGGATCCCGCTCCCCATGCTGCTGCCTGCTTCCCCGGCCAGGCAGAAAAGAGCATGGGGGAAGCGGGGAAGTGGCATGGGGATGGGCAGTGACTGGCAACGCATCTAGACCCTTCCCATGACCCACTAGTGCACGGGTAGTCAATAGGCAGACCGTGGGCCAAATCCGGACCACTTTTGAATGGACCCCGATATCTTTTCATTTACTTATTATTGTTGTTTTCTTTTTATTATTTTCTCTGGAGGCTGGACCTTGACTATACCATTGACCAAGAAATTTGGACCGTGACAAAAAGTAATTGACTACCCCTGCACTAGTGGGTCAGGACCTACGTTCCCACTAAGCTGCGCGGCTGCCTACTAAACCCCACACAGGAGCTCAGGGCTGCGGTGGGGAGAGGCAGCCCTCCTCGCAGGACCCAGCACGGACCTGCCCCAGAGCTGCCGTGGCCGGGGAGAGGTGCCTCTTCCCCGGCCCTGAGCTGCTGTGGTGAGAGAGAGCTGGGGAAGCCTGCAGCCCAAACCCCTCATCCCTGGCCTCACCCCAAAGCAGTGGCGTATTATCGCCTAGGCTGACAAGGTCTAGGCCTAGGGTGGCAAATTTGCAGGGGTGGCAAATTTGAGCACCCACGGAGAAGCTCCCCTCCCCCAGAGCCCACACATTCCCTGCACTCCAACCCTCTGCTGCAGCCCTGAGCCCCACTCCCACACTCTGAACCCCTCGGCCCCACCCCCACCGCATTCATTTTGTTATCTACACCAATACGAAGGTGATGTATCACACATCACCTCCATATTGGCGCACATACCAAAATTCATTCCGCACATGGATGTAAGAAATTAGAGGGAACACTGGTCAGGACCCATCATTTGGGAAATGCTGCTCTATAACATGCTCCATTGCCTCCGCCTCACAAAAGGGCACTTGTCTGTGCCCATAGGCCGTTGCCTTAGGAAAGTGAAGGTGCCATGCAGAGGAAAGCAAGTCGTAAGAACCACCCAGCTCTGTGTACAGAACCATCATGAGCCCTTCGTATTTCAAAAAGGGACAGCCCGTCTGCAATAGGAGCTACTTTTGTTCACTGCAACTCGCTGTGAATCTGTTGCGGATGTCATTAATTTTCTTTTTCCTTCAGGTCATCGGATCAGGCGTCTCAAGCATTTTTGCCTTGTGCATGGGTCAGACATCCAGTTTTTGCAAAGCTATAGTATTTGCATCTGTCTCAATTGGACTTCAGACCTTTAACCACAGGTAATCATCATCATCGTCATAGGAGTAACGCATAGCTCTGATAGAGTACTTTTCAGGAGGGAGATGTCATTATCCCCACTGGGGAAACTGAGGCACAAAGAGATTAAGGGACTTGCCCAACGTCACCCATCTGGCCAATGGGAGAGCCAAGAATAGAACCCAGGTCTTCGGAGACTTAGCCTAGTGCCCCGTTCATAGGCCATGCTGCCTATATAGAGGCAGTTTTTGTCAAACACCTAGCAGACAAATTGAACCAATGTTTTATTTGTTACATGTGAAGAGTTCTAATCTAAGATCGAAGGCGTGAGGATTTATCCAGGCTTTATTGAGCAATGACTGTACATAAAGATGAAGGGTCCAGAACATGAGCACTAAGTGTCAGTAACTCAAGACAGCCAGCTAAATCCTTGTAAAAACCCACTGTTGGGAAATATGAAATCTATGACACGATTCAAATTCAAGGATTTCTCTCACCACCTTCCCACTATCTCAGCTTAGTCTTGAAACAGCCCAGCACAGGGCCAGACTGGGGTAATGGATGAATACGCTGCTTAGCAGATGGGGCAGCCAGGTTGCTGCAGATCATGTCTGAGATGCATTATGAGGTTTGCACGAGGAGAGCTGCCACAGCACCTTCCATGCCAGCCTCTCGCGAAGTCATTGGCAAATTCACCCCAGGATTTTTAAACTGTTATTTACTTGGGTCTTATTGTCCACTTAGAACTGGGGATTTCTTCCCAATTTTAGCACAACTGTTTGTTTGGTTTTCTTTCTGCCTCTAAATTTGAGTTATCATAGAAGCAAAGAAAGGCAGAAGAACCACTTATGGCTAGAAGTTAAAGCCAGACAAATTCAAATGAGAAATAAGGCACTTTTTTTTTTTAACAGTGAGGGCTGTTAACCATTGGAACTAACTACCAAGGGGAGTGGTAGATTCCCCATCTCTTGATGGCTTCAGTTCAAGATGGGATGCCTTTCTGGAAGGCATGCTTTAGTCAAACACAAGTTACTGGACTCCATACAGGAGTAACTGGGTGATATTCTACGGCCTGTGACATGCAGGAGGATGATGTAATGCAGGGGTTCTTAACCTTTTTCTTTCTAATCCCCCCCTTCCCCCAACATGATATAAAAACTCCAGGGCCCAGCAGCAGGGGAAGGGAAGGGGACGCTCTGGGCTTCAACCGCTGGGCTGGGGTGTGGGGGAGGAGCTTGGGGCTTATGCCCTGCGGAGTGGCAGAGCTCCTGGCTTCAACTGTGGTGAGGGGAGCCATGGGGCTTTAGCCTCATGGGGAGGGGGGTCACCAGGGCTCAGGGCTTCAGCCCCATGGGGGGCTGGGGGAGATGCTGGGGCTTGGGGCTTCAGCCCAGAAGGAGGATAGATTAGATGATCTAATGGTTCCTTCTTGCCTTAAAAGCTATTAATCGAAGCATCAGATTTTGGTCACTGCAGGATGTTGGGCTTCATAGACCAGTGGGTCAGAACTGGTATAGCAACACCAAGTCCTAGTCTAGCAGGGGAAAGTGTCTTAGGTCTACACTACCGGGGGGAGGGGGGTTGACCTAAGATATGCAACTTCAGCTACGTGAATAGCGTAGCTGAAGTTGCGTATTTTAGGTCGACTTACCTGGCTGTGAGGACGGCAGCGAGTCGACTGCTGCCGTGCCGCCGTTGACTCCGCTTCCGCCTCTTGCCGTGGTAGATTTCTGGAGTCAACGGCAGAGCGATCAGCGATCGATTTTATTGCATCTTCACTAGACACGATAAGTCGATCCCCAATAGATCCATTGCTACCCGCCGATCCGATCCTTAGTCTTGCCACAGTGAAGCTGGCACGTTCTAGCAGGCTAATGATGGACACACCAAAGAGAATTCAAATTTCATTCTGGCCCCACCTAACACTTTATAAATGCAACTGCAGCCGTCTAAGCACCACTGTATCTATTGTACTTTTCCGCTAATACTGAAGCGCTTTGCTTCTTATTTTGAAGTCTTTCCATTCAGTTATTTTCCCATCTTGGTTCAATTTCAACCATATTTTGGTTCTCAGTTCCCTCCTTCTTCTCCCCACCGGGTTGGTTCAGATTGGTTCCCTTCATTGAACAACAGCATGCTTTATCTCGTGTAAATTCTGAAAAGCAGACAAAACCTGTTTACAAATAAAAACCCTTTAATTTCTCTTCTCTCTGTGAATAGTGGCATTTCAGTCAACGTACAGGATCTGGCTCCCTCGTGTGCTGGCTTGTTGTTTGGTAAGGGGGCATTTTTAACAATTTTTATTTGCACAGAAAATATACCCGTGTCTGGGGAATAATTCCCAGGGAACTACATGTAAACACAAGTCTGAAGGCAGAGCTGCTGCCAGCAGCAGCGCAGAAGTAAGGATGGCATGGCGTGGTATTTCCACCCCTTCTTCTGCGTTGCTGCTGGCAGGGCGCTGCCTTCAGAGCTGGGCTCCCGGCCAGCAGCTGCCGCTTTCTGGCTGCCCAGCTCTGAAGGCAGCACCACCGCCAGCAGCAGCGCAGAAATAAGAGTAGCACTACCACAACCTCCCCTACAATAACATTGTGACCCCCCTGCAACTCCCTTTTGGGTCAGGACCCCCAATTTGAGAAACGCTGGTCTCCCCCATGAAATCTATATAATATAGGGTACAAGCACACAAAAGACCAGTTTTCTCGGTCTGTGACGCGTTTTTCATGGCCGTGAATTTGGTAGGGCCCTACTTATGAAACGGAGTGGCTTTATGGGTGCATAGGGAGTGTACAAGGAGTCCTCGCTCCTACACAGCAGCCAGACTTGCATGCAGTCTCTGCATCCCCCTGGGAGAGCAAGACCTCCTGAAGGGGGATGGGGAGGAGGTGGACCCTGCCCTCTACACACTGGACAGCTGAGCTACTTATTTGCACCTTAGGGAAAGTATACGCTGGACTGCCTGAAAGGGTAGCAGTGGATAAGCTCTTTCTGTGAGTTCTGGGAGGAAGTCTACTTCCCAGAACTCTCCCTCATTCTACCCCATGCAGCTCTACCCTGACACCCACACAGCGGGGCTGTGTCTAACCAGCACGAGCGAACCCAAAGCGAGTGAAAAGTCTTGGGAGTAGCACTGGACACATTCAGAGCTAGATTGTCAACCCTCAGCCTCTCCCTGTGTTTATTTATGTGCTTTCACCGGCCCTCGGCAGGTGCAAATAATTGCACACGCATGCCCTTTAACGAGTCTAAGGCTTGTGTACGCACAGGAGTCAGGCTATCGAAAGGGCGCATGTGTGTTGAAATTTCCGGATTCCTAGCAAGTATCTTATGGTTAGAAGCATCGTGTGCAAATTGGTGTGATGCAGTGGTTTCCTTCTTCTCTTTACAGGCATTGGAAATACAGGTGGAGCCCTATTAGGTAAGGGATTTTTCTGGAATTGTCCCTCATTTGGGGGATCCTCCGGCTGAGCTGACATTACAGGGCGAGGCCCTGGCCAAGTTCTATTTGATTCATTTCTGCTCTCTCTCCCTGTACACAGGTGTCGTTTGTGTGTATTTAGCCGGTCATCTGATTGAAACCACTGGTTCTTGGGTTTCTGTTTTCAACCTTGTGGCTACAGTTAATGCCCTGGGGCTCTGTACATTCCTGATCTTTGGAGAGGCCCGAAGGATGGACACAGACTCTGCATACATAGATCTATAGTCGCTGTAAAGATGAGTTCAGCAAATGAAATCTGTTGAAGGGTTTAGGACTGTAATTTCTATTGATAGCTGTTGTGCAAATGGTTGTTTGCAGAAGAGATTATTATTATTTTGTAGAATTTAAATAGAAAAAAAATCTATTGAGAGAATATTACGGGCCTGAACTAAACCCAGAGGAGGGAGGAAATCCAGAGTTAAAACTTTGCTCAGGAATGGCTGATGAGTTATAGAGCCTTTCAGCTCTAGGTCACCAGTTTGAATTTGTAGCAGAGGGGTAGCCGTGTTAGTCTAGATCTGTAAAAGCGGCAAAGAGTCCTGTGGCACCTTATAGACTAACAGACGTATTGGAGCATAAGCTTTCGTGGGTGAATGCCCACTTCGTCGGATGAAGTGGGTATTCACCCATGAAAGCTCATGCTCCAATACGTCTGTTAGTCTATAAGGTGCTACAGGACTCTTTGCCGCAGTTTGAATTTGAATTCACTAGTGCCTGAACGAAGCAGCTCATGGCCTATGTGAAATCAGTTGGTACCTCCAGTCAAGTTCCTAGTGCAGGAAATGCCATCCCAGCTGACACTAAACGGTACCTTAGCTGAGAGTCTCGGCAGGGATGCCAAGGACTGAACGGCTCATAGAGAGTGAACTCCTCTTTCATCCTGAGAGATGCTCCCTCCAGGACAGAGATGAGACATCTGAGCATGCATTGCAGGTGTCCATGTTCTACCTGTTCTGTGGCTGAGACGATCACTCCCCTCTCCAGGGCTGTCAATCAGTTCTTTTCATCAACACTAAATGAACTTAATAATACCAAGGACTGTCCTTAACTTGCCCTTGTGTGCCTCAGTATTGCCATATATATAACAGGTACAATCAGGGTGTACAAAGGCATGGGTTCAGAGTTGTTTTGCCATATACTGTGAATGTATATGAAGGGTGGCTCACATTCTGCACTATGGATCCATAATATCAAGTGTTTTCTGCTTCACTAGGTCTGTTCCCAGTATGCATTGAAAGGAATGCAGGAGACATTCGAAAGAGCCTGAAAAATGCGTGTTATGTATTTACATTAATTATAGGGCTTGTTTCTGCGTTATGGATCCATACTGCTGAATGCTCACCAAAGGAGTTACCATGCCGCTGCCACACATGCTTTGGAGCCTGATTGTGTTGTTATTTATAATTTTTTACTTTAAATACCAAAAAGGCTTAGTCCACTTTATGCTCTAAAGAGGTAATTCTGCAAGCTGTCTCGTGTGGACCTCTCGCTGCAATCCATGAGCGTTCCGTGAAAGGAAAGATTTAACAACCTGCAATTTTATTTTGTTAGGGCTTATTTTAAATATGGAGGTTCATGTAAAATCATAAAACGTCTTCTCTCTGCCCCCATTCTTATAGCTTATGCAAAATCTGTTTGGTTGTGTTCAGCATTTGTGTTTTAAAAATTTGTACTGGTGGAACGAATGAGCCAGGGGACAAATTTTCAAAGGGGCCTCAACCTGGCATCTTGGTTTTAAGCTTCAGTTCTGTGCTCCAGTTCGTGGCAAGGACTGTTGCTTGAGAACTGGCCTTTTTAGCCACTCACGATGCGGCCTCATGACACCTAGCAACTGATCTGCTTTGGCACTTACGCCGTCGTCCGTTGAGGCAGATGGTTGCCACGACACATGAATCAGTTTGCAGCATGGCTTAGGGCATTTCAGGGCCAGGCCCTAAACTGATGTAAATTATTGTTGGTGCATAGTGGAGACATAGCAATTTACACCTGCTGCCAAACCCACACTCACCAAAAAGTTGTGGTATGAAATTTGCAGGCTCAGATTTAATGCCCAGATTCTTTGAAAATTTGTCCCCCCTCCTTTTTTTTTTTTTGGTGCCAAATTTCAGCTCAGAACATATTTACAACGAAGTCATAAACTTCTGAGTGCACAGGTTCATAATAAAAATATTGACGGACCTTTTAACTGCAGAGGTGCTAATGAGCTCTACTAATATGCGCTGAACTTTGATGCATACCGAGATATTAATAGATCGTGGTGATCCTGTCCAATGGCTTGACAAGAGTTTACAGCATGCGTGTGGCCTGGGACCAGAGAGACGAGCAGAACTCTCCTCCTTGTGTGCTTTTTCTGTTAGTAGCCGGCGGTGGACTTGCGGTTACAGCTCACTGCCCCACATCCTGACGGTGACCAGATGACACTGCTGGAAGTGTTTTAAAACTGTCAGGAAAATGAAAGCGTAGATGCTATAAACAGGACTTGCAGAAGAGAACGCAAGGCTATGTCTTTGGGTTCACATTTCCCTCCATCAGCCACACACCATATTGGTGAAAATGATGCAGGAACCCACAGAGCGTACTGATTGTTGGACCCATCCGTGATGACAGACCTGGTCACCCTGAGTCCTGCAGCATTCAAGAGGAATCCAGATGATGGTGCTGTTCAGAGTTTTAACAAGGACAACTTCACATTTTTTGTTTTATTTGAAGTCAATCAGGAATTCCACTGGTCAGAATCCAGAACTGAAACTGGCACTCGATGGACCGTGAGTCTATATTTAAGTAAAAAAGTGGTGTCAGGGATTATCTACTTAGAGCAGTGGTTCTCAACCTGCGGCCCGTGGACCACTTGAGGCCCACTCAGCACACAGCTGCGCCTACGTGACATCCTCAGGGCCATACAGGTAGTATTGGATGTGGCCCACAATGGGAAATAGGTTGAGACCACTGACTAATAAGAGAGAGGGAGTGGTGGAACTGGGAAGATGTGAGAAGGTTTATAAGAAAATTGGGGGTGCTCACATACAAATTTGCACACAAATGAGTTACACTGGTGCAAACTCTTGTGTTTTCTACACTCATTTCAGTGTAAGAGTGGCTTATTTAAGTTTAGGTTAAACCTGCTCCCAAGCTATTTAAATTAATTGAAACAAGCCTGGTTTAAACTGAAACACACAGCCTTTGGCACTGGTTTAACTGAATCAGTTTAAAATCACATTCATACCAGTGCAAACCTGCATGTCGATAAACCCTTCCTAGCTGCAGGAGATTCTTAAGCCGAGACCTTAAAAAAGAAAACACAAAGGGCTTGTCTTCACTGTCGTTAGCAGGGTGACCAGATAGCAAATGTGAAAAATTGGGATGGGGTGGGGGGCCTATATAAGAAAAATCCCTGACTATTGGGACTGTTCCTATAAAATTGGGACATCTGGTCACCCTAGCCGTTAGCTCAAGGTGTAACTTGCGTTGTGTGTCTAACCCAACTTCTGTCCACACACAAAAATCTCTAGCTCAAGTTAAGCAGTGCTTTTAAACTTGAGCTAGCTGGTCGGTCAAGAGTAGTGGGTTAAAGTTTGAGTGCTGCTGATGCTTGAGTTGTTAATGCCGGGGAAGGCAGCAATCCAACCAGAGGTGAAAGTAAGCCGGTCCGGTCTGGTGTACCGGTAAGAAAGCCGGTACACAGTCGACCGTACCGGCAGGGCCGCTGATGGCAGGGGGCCAGCAAAAGGGGAAGCTGCCCCAGGGCCCAGCGATTTAAAAGGGCCCGGGGCTCTCAGCAACGGCCGGAGCCCCTGGCCCTTTAAATCACCACTGGCGGTGGGGGCCGGGCAACACTGAAGGACTGGCTGGGGGAGTCTGGCCCCAGCCCTGCCCCTTCCACCTGAGGTCCCGCCCCTTCCAGGGGCCCACAGCTGCCCCCCACACCTTGTCCAGGACCCCGGCCACCCAGCATACCAGTAAGTCCATTAAGTTACCCCTGAACCCAACTCACAACAGCTCAGCTGCTATCCCACCTGCTCTATGAAGCTCAAGTGTGGTTTTGCAGTGCAGTTGCTCTCACTGGGGGTATATCCGCATTGCAGTTGGAGGTGTGATTGCAGCACATGTAGACATACCTGAGCTTGCTTTGATCGAGCTAGATCAAAGTTAGGTCAAGTCACAATAGCAGCGAAGCTACCTGAGATGTGTCTACACACGCCGCAGTCACTCAGTCCGATTGCAGTGTGGACGTACTGCAGGCTAGCTCTACTGGAATAACTCAATCCGACTATTCAAGTGAAGTCAAGCCCAGAAAAACCAAAGCAGCACGGCTGGCTGTGCCTACTTTTGTAATCCCATTGGCAGCTAACATTTGGTACATAGTCTTGGTTATCTGTCTCTGTCAATCTAGCACGGGCTGGTTTCTTATATATGTGACGCTCGTCTGGTGCTTTTTTCCACGTGTTTTATGCATTTTGATAAGATATTGAGACCATTGTACATGGCTGTATTTTTTTTTTAAGAACAAATCTTGCCTAACCTTGCTTGTGTGACAATGGTTGTTGCAGTCAGAAAGACCTGCCAAAAATAAAGGAAACCAATCAGCTGAACAAAGCCTTGTTTTCATTTAAATACATTGGTGCAACGTGATACGGCGAATAAGGGAGAGCCAGAACCAAATTATACTTAACGTGATTAAGTATTAAAGTAGCAATTTATTCAGATGACTCATCTGCCTTAATTTACATTCTCAGGACCAGATTTTCAAAGGTAAAGAGGTAGATAGATGCTTTGAAAATCCCACTAGATGCCTAACTCTAAGGACAGTTGTACCAATATAACTGTGTCTGCAACTAGGGCTTTTACCATCATAGCTCTATCCGTAAAAATCACACCTCTGACTGACACAGCTATGCTAGTAAAACGCTTAAGAGTAGAGTCAGAATTTAAAGTGGACTTGGCCAAGGACTTCTCATTGAAGGCACTCCCCCCTCCCCAAAGCAAAATGTTAATTAAGGAGATTAAGATTGGACACAAAACAAAAAGCCTATCACATACTATCATCTAGGGTGAATACTGAGGTTTTCAGCATGCTAACCAGAGTGCTAAGGTGTGGAGGTGGGGGCTGTCAGCTTAAGAAATTGAAACAGTCACTAGAGAGAGGAATGAGAAGGCCTTGCAGGAGTTTTAGGAAGCTGTCCTTTGAATTCCAAAGCATTTGCTAGATTAGAATGATGCAGTGACGCCAATTCTTACGATTTAGTCTGGCGATACTTGGTGATTTTCTTAAAGCTCTAGCTCCCGGAGGTGTGTGACGAGGGGAGAATCTCAACTTGCATTAATTTTTTTTTTTTAAAAAGACAGTGAGTTTCTATCCCTCACTGTTGAGGAGAAAAGCTTGAAAATGTGACTCGAGTGCCACCTACATGCTCAAACCAAACGGCAAATAAAACAAACCCAACGTTTTTCGTGCTTAGCCAATCTCCTAATTTTTTGTGGCCTAACGGTTGGACTTGGCGATGCTGATGATGTCTCTGCATAATATCCTCTCCTTAAAAAAATGCATATTTCAGCCAGGTG